GACAAGACCCGGGGCTCCCATGTTGGCCCTGTCTTTAGATGCCGAAAAAGCATTTGACAGGGTCAACTGGGAGTTCATGAGGCAAACCCTTCAGGCATTTGGGTTAGAGGGAAGACTTTTCCAGAATATCTCAGCTCTTTATATAGCACCTACGGCTAGAGTTGGAGGAAATGGCTTTGGATCTGAATGGTTCTCATTGCTAAACGGAACAAGACAAAGGTGTCCCTTGTCTCCGTTACTTTATATCATGGCACTAGAACCATTGGCTTTAGCCATAAGAAAAGAGCAGAGAATAGTAGGTTTTGATTTTAATAAAGTAAATATAAAAATAAATTTATACGCTGATGACGTCATCTTAACAATACAAAAACCTCTACAATCTATAATACAACTTATGGAAACCATTGGGAGTTTTTCCCAGGTTTCTGGATACAAAATAAATATAGAAAAATCATCTATTTTAGCTGTAAATGTAAATAAAGAAGAAAAAAATGAGATAATTAAGAAATTTAATTTCGTATGGGTCGAAAAATAATTTAATTATTTAGGAATTAATATATGTGCTGACCCACTGAAAATAGTAGAGATCAATTTTCTCCCATTGCTTATTAAAATTAATAAACTCCTAAAGGGTTGGAAGAATTTAGAATTTTCGTGGTGGGGTCGTATTAATATTATTAAGTCTTACATCTTACCAAAATGGTTGTATTTGTTTAGAATGATCCCTCTGAGTGTCCCTGATAGTTGGCTGCTATTAATACAACAGGCCTGGTCTAAGTTCATATGGCAAGCGAAAAAACCTAGAATGGCAAGAAAACTCCTCTCGATTAATCAATCTAAGGGAGGGGTAGGATTCCCACTTATACAACAATACCACAAAGCGAGTATCCTTTTCCATAGTATCATCTCACAATTGGCTGGGGCTAAGCTAGAAAGGTGGTACGCGGTGGAAAAGGAACTTGCAGATGGTAGGGATCTAGTAACACTTTTTTGGTTTACTCAAGAAGGAGACACAAATAAGACCCGACCAAGTTCTGATAGTGTGGTAATTGAATCCATTAGAGCAGGGGTTCTCAATGTTAGTCCTCAGGACCCCCTACCAGTCCAGGGTTTAGGGATTACCTGGGTGTGTCTAAGGTGTTTAGAAAAAGAAAGAAAAACCACCTTAGAGTCTAAGGTGTTTTTTTCCCTTTTTCTAAACACCTGGCACACACCCAGGTAATCCCCAAATCCTGGACTGGTAGGGGGTCCTGAGGACTGGGTTGAGAACCCCTGCATTAGAGGAATGTGGAGTAAGATAAAAAAAGTGCAGGATTTAAAAATCACATTATTAATACCCTACCGATCTCAATATTGGAAAATAACATGCAAGACCTAAGACTAAATAATTGGAGAAGAGCAGGTATACAAACTATAGAAGATTTAACAACAGGATCCTGGGTTAATTCGTTTGAACAAATATGTGCTAATTTTAGTCTCCCCGAAACTGAGAAATTTAATTACATGAGGATTAAAAGCTATCTGAATAAAACCTTAAATAAAGAGAAATGGGAATTTAATAATAAATTAGGAAATTTACTGAAAGGAAAGGACATGAAAAATTTATTAAATAAGTGTAACTTGGTATTGAGACAACTAGAGGGTGACTTGACGTTTCCAGCGATAAAAAAATGGGAGAAAGATCTAAAAATACAAAAAATCGATGGTCAAGATTGGAATAGAGCATGGTTGGCAGTTGATAGGCACATTAAATGCCTAAATTTAGTGGAACTACATTTTAAGATTATTAACAGACTCTATTTGGTTCCTAGCCGACTAAATAAAATAGACCAGAGTGAAACAGATACATGCTGGAGATGTAAAGGGGGAGTAGGAGATTGTGTACATATTTGCTGGAGTTGCCCCCCACTTAAAGAATTTTGGAAAATGTTTTTGTCTAAAATAGAAATGGTAACCGGATTTAATTTTCCCCTTGCCCCGGAAATGTGCATATTACATTTAAATATTTATCAGTATAATGTAGATTTGCAACATTTTTTTTCTCACGCATTAATAGCAGCAAAGATCTCCATAGCTAAAAGGTGGAGAACCAAAACTCTACCAAACTGGGATATAGTAAAACACCTACTAATTTCGCAACTTAGGATGGAGGGAGGTCTGAACAGAAATTTGAAGAAAAAAAATCTATTTCACATAAATAAGTGGCTAGAAAAACTGTTGGCAGTAGACTAATATATATAGAAGAGGAAGGGAAGAAAGAAAGGAAGAGAGAAAAGAAAGGGAGAGAAAAGCAAAGGAAAAGAAAAGGGAAAAAGAAAGGAAGGGAAAAGAAAGGGAAAGAAAAGAGAACTGCTAGCTCATATATAAGTTAAATGAATAGCAATGCAGAGAGACTAGGGAAGAGGGTTTCATCATCAGGTATGAATGTTGTGTATGGCTGTTTTATGTTTTAGCTTTTCTTTTTTTGTTAATTAATAATAATGTTTTTTTTTATAAATTAAAATCATTTAATAGGAAAAATAGGAGAGAGAAAACATTGATGATGACTAATATACCAAGCCTGAGATGCAAAGTAGGAAAGAATATAAGAGGCTGGTAATGTCGGGAAAAAAAATTACTAAAAGTTCTGTACTATTGTGTGTTTTTATTATATTGCAAAGATTGAAATTTGAACATCACAAGTAACAGCAAGTTAAGTTGTATAATCTTTAGATGTGTTTGTCACATATAATGGTGCTCAATTTTAATTTTTTCTTGGTTTGTCACATATTTTGTTTTAAATGGTTATTGGGAGATTCACACATATTGAGAGGGAGCAGCTGTACAGTTGTATCTTGAAATATATCACTTAGAATATTCCCTTATTTATTAACTATGCATATATAGCGCTTTTATGTTTCGTTTCTTAGGTATAAAAATGAGGAGACTTAATTTAAATGCTCATCTGCTGATACTACCAACTAAATCATCAATTATAGGAGTCATTTAATATATACATTATCTCAATATTACAATATAAGTAATAAGATATACAATTTATGATATACAATATAATATTTTTTACAATCATATTATACATTTTCACTTCATTACAAGTCCATATTATCCCTAAAAACCATGAAAGCTTACAAATAATATAAAAAGTATATAATAACAAAAATCAGAACTATGTTAAACTAAAAGGGGAGGCTTAAAAATGAAAAGCACAGACTGAAAGAACCTCATTGGGTGAAACACGTTTCAGGACGGAGGACACAGACAAATCGTTTATACATTTTGTTGCTCAATGCAATTTTTATTTTACTATATAATTTGCACTTGATCTGGCCATGGAAATTCCTCTGCATATTCCTGGGAGAGTGATACTTATTAAAGAAGAAAGGTGCCACCCTAATTGACTTTAAGCTGGCTGTACCTGGAGCCAGGTTCACAGGCTTCATTCAAGGTGAGCTAATAAGCTTAAAATTGAGAGGCTGTTTATTTCTAAAATCTACTACACTAGTGTGTTTTTATTTGTGTACTCTTGGAGGAAAAAGCTAAAGAAATGAGGTGGAACACAGCCTTGAAGGCGCATAAGCATTTGCGATTAGAGCCACACAATACACAGTATAATACTCATAGTATATTTTGTTTTATCACTTCAATATTTCACTATCATTTGTATGTTGTGTTACAAGTTTTATATGAGGACCCCCAGGTGAAACATGAGTATGTTTATTGAGTCATTTTGAACTCTTCACTCACACATTTATTTGGAGTTAGGGTTACACCAAATATTTGTACACTATTACATGTGTTTTGACAGCTGACACATTTTCATTAAGTGCAAACACACACGCACCATTTCCACTTTTTTCTTCCTTTTTTGTAAATTCATGTTTCTGTTTTGTAATTCTACAGATGATACCACTGAACAGTGGTTGGGAAATAGAATCAGTAAGGAGCCAGATATCGATGAGTCAGAAGTAAATTACCTATTACCAGGAATAGACCAAGGTCAGGATTACAGAGGTACGGAAATATGAACAAACTATCTAAGATCGGTAATTCAGAACAATACAGAGTCAAAAACTAGACAAGGTCAAAACCAGGAAATCAGGAAAACTATATATATATATATATATATATATATATATTCTTTTTATTTATTCTTTTTATTTATTTATTTTATATATACAACAGATGGTATAGAAAGTTAAAATTTAGCTTTTATTTCGCATATTGCAAAAATAAAAAAAAATCTACTTTTTAGTTTATCAATTAAATAAATCCTGATAAAAGTTTAGTTAATAAACTGAAACGTTGATTTTTATTTTTGCAATATGTAAAATAAAAGCTAACTTTTAACTTTCTATACTCACTCTAAAGGTTTTAGGATGGAGATGAAATAAAATCAGATATGGGGATGTTGAGAACATTATATCCTTCAATAGATCCCTTTTGCATATTGTATTGCTCTTTGTTATTTTTATTCCTACTTTTGCATCTTTATGCCTTTTTTTGTGTTCTTCTACTGACTCTTGTGTCTCTTATCCTCCTTATGAATGTCTTTCCCATCTTTAGTGTGTCATATCCCCCTTTGTCTCCCTCCTGTCTCATAAACCTCCTTATCTGTTTCATAACCCCCTTTTTGTGTATCTTACTGCCTGTCTTTTACTCCTCTCCCTTTGTATCCCTAAACCGCCTGTGTATTTTACCCTTTCTGGGTTTCTTAACCATCTGTTGCTTACTCAAATGTGCCTCTTACTCTCCTACCTTGTTGTTGGGGTTGGCTAAAGAAAAACGGGAGTAGAAAGTGGGAAACATGGGTTAAAATCCCATTAGAGCCAGTCGGAGAGTGCTTCCTGACATTACCACCACCTAAAGGAACACCTGTTTCCTGTCAGTCTTGTCAGGAAAGCTATTGTGAAACCTTTTGACTAAGCGACTATGGTCCAGTTCTGAGACCCCATTCGGGAGTTACCCTGCACAGCCACCATTAGCAGCTTTCCCTCGGTAACCCAGGTTCGGCACGTTCCCTTCATTTGAATAGAACTGAGTGCTAGCTCCCTGGTGGCCGTTCTCATGAACAAAACCCATGAACGGTCTTCAGCGGTACTTAGCCATGACCGTTATGAGACTAATTTCGGCATAAGGACTTTGTGGTTCCCTGGTCACTTCAACAATACTTAACCGTAAGCAACGTGGCCATAATAAAGCAGTTCCTTTTCACCTTCACTCAGTCTGGACTAGTGTTTGGGTAGATTAGCTATATTCTCTGCAGGAGAGCTTAATCACTTGAAGCTGTACCCATCACCCTGTTGCAGGGTGGGAAGCGATGCTGAGACCCCAGCTAAGCTGCGGAGGCTAGGGGCTGAAGCCGGCTGTTCATCACAGACATTCCCTATTGAAAGTAGTTTATTTACACTGTCTAAATTGCATTGGGGAATTTTAGCAATCCTTCTTTAACAAGAAGATTGTGGATTATACCTGAGTGTAGTACTTGTTTTTACATGTTATTAAATCCCTGCTATTGACACGAATAGGGTCCTTGCAAGCATGAAATTGAGGAGACTTAATTTATATACTCAATTCATTTGCTAATATTGCCAACCAAACCATCATTCCGTCTCTTGTTTTTATCCCTTCCCTATTTGAGAAAAAATTGAAATTCCAGTTCTGCCATAAATCTACTAAATGGTGAGTTGTGAACCTGCTTTCACCAGTGTGTTCTCTTAATCTGATTTTTAATCATCTCCCACTCCTTTCAACATAATGGAGTCAACATGGAAAATCCAGTGTGAAAATAACATGTTTGTTAAATGAATCTTCTTTGCACTCCATTTACAGATCTTACATGCTGTACATGCTGTACATCCATCACAATTTTTATATATATTTATATATATTGTTTTTATATAGAGTTTTTTTTGTAAATTTAAGAATTACAACAGTTAGTTACATGCATAGTTAAATATAGTTAGCAATGTTACAAGCATAATAATGAAGTTTCAGTAAAAGTTAGTTTACATAAAAATATTTAACATAAAAATATCACAAAAATAGAACAAGGGAGACCCAGGTGATTCTAATGGTTTGTAGGCTTGTTGTGTTTAACATCTCCTTTTTGGAGAATATGCTTTTGTGTTTGCAACCAAATGATTAGACATTCAAGTAAGTTAATTGTAAAAAGTCAATCACGTACAACCCCAGGGTTAGATTATTAGATTATTATAAGGGTTGAGTACTTTAGAGTGTGGGAAAGGCTGGCAGAGAAATACATGTTTGGTACAAGGCTCCCACGTATGTAGATATTTTCCATATCTTTACTCCAATTACTATTTCAGTTCCTCATATTTCCTAATTTGTTCGATGGATGAATACCACTCTATTGATGGATGAATACCACTCTATTAATGAATGAATACCACTATATCTCAGTGGTCTTACATGTTCCCAACTTGCCCCTTTACAGTCTATAATAAAAGCGGCGGCAAGGCTCATCTTGTCCGCAGCTCCCACGTCTCCCCCTTTGTCAGTCCTTACATTGGATTACCATAAGATATAGGACTCAATTTAAGATCCTGATACTTGATTACAAATCTCTACACAATGCTGCTGCAACCTACTTATCCTCACTAATACACAAATATGTCCTGTCTAGGCACCTACAGTCTGCTGGAGACTTAGGTCTAACCTCTTTTCGTACTTCTACCTCTGATGCTCACCTTAGAGGTAGGGCTGCACCATTCCTAAGGAACTCCATTCCCCCCTCCCTGTTAGACTTTCGCCCAATCTCCACTCCTTCAAAAAATCTTTGAAACCTTACTTCTTTAGGAAAGCATATCAATTAAACAGCTTTCCCTCCCTGCACCCTGATTCTGCTCCAGCAACTGTCATCAAAACAAAACACTAAGCCCTTAATGAACACTATCCTAGCAAACTACTTTTCTACCCTACCCTTAACTTTTGTGTCACATTACCCCACTCTCTCTAGCATGTCAGCTCATTGAGCAGGGCCCCCAATCCCTCTGTTCCTGTGTGTCCAACTCATCTGGTTAGAAATATGTGTCTGTTAGACCATCCATTGTACAGCGCTATGGAAGTTGTTGGCGCTTTACAAATAATAAAATAATAATTATAATAATATTACTGTGGGACTGAGGACTTGTTTCCAATGAAGAGGGATAAAGGATTTGGCCGAGTGCATGAATTTGTTTTCAAAAGGTAACAGTAGCAGGGTAGATCCTAAATGTGAGAAGGGGCCTTTGCCCTATTTGCATTTACATTAGGTCTCAGAGGTGCTAGAAAACATTTTGTGTAAGGTTGCTGGAGTGAGGTACCAACGAGTGAGGAATTTAAAATTTACTGCTTGTACCTGCACACTATATGTAGCTTTTGTAGTAATTTGGAAGATTTTATGCCAATTGGCTTCAGTTAAATCTAATTGAACTTAATCGTACATCTCTCCATGTTGTCTCTCATGGTTATATGACCCAACAATCAGAATATAAACCCACCAAAGAGGGATAGAGAAAGTACCTATACCGGTCCTTAGAGTGGCCGGGCTGAGTGTAAGATACTGATATAAAAGTGTCAAACAAAAGCCAAGTTCAAGGAGTGCCACGAGTCAAGGAAGCAAAAATACAGAATAGTCAAAAAGCAGAGTCAGATACCAGAAAGGCAACAGAAATACAGGTGGTGCACGCTTGGAACCACAACAGGACACTGTGATGTGGGCAAACTATGCTTTTAGATGTTTGGGGGTGTCATTGGTGTAGCCATGGAACCAAAATGTAAGAGGGCATTGCTAACAATGGTAATTGACATTACTGATGTCATAATGCCAGCACTGGTGCACCGCATCTTAAAAATAGGTGTGTGCACTGCAGCCGTTGTTATAGAGGCTATCTGATCTGACACAGCAAGAATAAATCCACAAAAATAGAAAAAAATTAGGGCAGCCCAAAGAATTGCAAATGTGCACACCAAGTGCTACAAAAGATTTATTTACAAGCCCATAAGGTACAAACGTTTTGGGTTATCCCCTTTATCAATGCATGTCCAAAGGAGATAACCCAAAAAGTTTGTATTTTGAATTTTTCTGGTTACTGCAGTAAACCTAACCTATATACTAGAGCGAGAAGAAACAGTGGTACGTCAGGTTGGAGAAGAGCAGGAGACCGCCATGGGAGGTATTGATGACCTTACATTGTCAAGGTTGGAGTTATTGTAGGATGTGGAGAGGATATTAGGCTTGATTGGGGAGTGAATTGCCATGGTAATGTGCATATGGGGAATCTTTACAAAAGTTTGTTGCATGTGGGCCCATTGCTTGAGTACGTTTTTGGTTGACCAAATGTACCCTCTATGGAGGTGTATTACAAGGCATTCTAGATTGTTTAGAGGTCCACACAAATCTGAAACTTTCTTGGGCATATATAGGGAGGATTTGCATTATGTAAAGGAGTTGGGGCCGAATTTTTATATTTATTGTGTTAACTCTCACCATCCAACGGAATTGGGGTAGATTCCAGTCGGATACTATGTGTTGTAGAAGAGGGGTGTAGTGGTCTGTGTATAGTAAATTAGAGGTTGCAGAAAGATGGACTTCCAAATATTTAATTTTAGACATTGCCCAAGTAAAGACAAAAATGTATTTCAGACTAGGATAAGAAAGTTGTCCTTTTACATTAATGTGTGCAATAAGTGTGGAGTATAGATATCTGATCCATTTTAACCATCTTGGGCTAAAGCCCATCAGCTGCAATGTTTCAGATAGAAGGGACCAGCCCACCCAGTCAAATGCTTTTTCAGCGTCCACAGATAATAGCACCATGGCAGTGGGGGAGTGTTGAGCATGGTGAATGCTATTAAGGATTTTTGATGGTGTTGTCTTTTGCTTCTCTTGAAGGTATAAATCCAAACTGATCAGGATGGACTTGTCTCTGCATCAACGGTCAAAGGCATAAAGCCATAATTTTAGAGACTAGTTTAAGTTCTAAATTTATAAGTGGAAATGGCCTGTACCTGCTGCATAGCATGGCATCTTTCCCTTCTTTTGGAATCAGTGAATTTGTGTTTTTCAAATGGGATATAGGAGTTGCTAGAGATAATTGTATAGAGGCCCAAAGTAATGGTTTGTTGAGGTGGGACGGGAAAATGTAATTGTAACGGCTACCCAGGTAGTAAGAGGGTATTAGCCGTTGGAGACGTCCTTTTCCTGGCAAGCTGCTGTATAGTAATGAAGTTACTTATTCACATCCACGAGATCCAAGAGCAGAGTCATGCATAGCGGTTAAAAGGAGCAAGGTAATTATGCAGTAAATCCCCTTCCAAGAACTAGACGAGTCTACGTTTTGAAGGGTCAAGCAGAACTAGGTTTTAATGACAAGGATTCTCCTTTTATGCAATTCTGCCCATGAAAGGGCGACACCTACATTACAGTAACCAATAACAAACATGGTACATCCCACACATCTCCTCCCCTCAGATAAACAGTTAACATAATTAACACACACACATTTTTACCCTAGTTTTGGATGTACCCCAAATACGTGGGGTACACCCATAAATATAAACAACATATTAAAAAATCAGCCCATTCGGTTAAGGGGTTCGAGAGTTATGGGACTTTAAAGTTTTGACCGACCGCATAGGCACACTAGCCGAAAATAGTTCCATAAGTTTTGGCCTTGCGGTCGGTCCTCGTTCTTGCGGTGAAAAGGCACGAAAATCTTGCCATCCTTGCATATCTTGCTGGTCATTAGAATCCCTGTATGCAGTATAGCCTATAGGACCCTGCTCAATATGACGAGAGACATATATACAAATATTTGGTAGACCACCTAATATACCTAATACACAAACCACATATGGTCCTTTAGTCCCAGGTCAGTGGGGGTACAGGTAGAGAATTGTTACATACTCATCCACAAGCTCATGAGTGACCAGCCCAGACTGCATGAGCAGAAAGCGAGAGAGTAATGCCAGGAATTATTTACATGAGAGATATATTAAAACAAGCAAAGAGAGCAGCATGTGCTAGTGCTCCTATAGTGCACACAGCATGAACACAGAGGATTCCTCTGTCCAACATTAATGCTACTATTGGTACAATACCAACTTCTGTCAAATAAATTTCACTATTGCTTAAAGAAAAAGATTCATGCTTTGGATGAGTCCAGACAGATACGGAGAATCTCCAAGACAAGTTAGGGAAAGAGACAGATCAGAAAAGATCCACACAACCACCAGCTATGACTAGAGATGTAAAAAGGTAGAAGGGAAATTTAAATATTTAAATATAAAGAACAAGAGCCTGATCAGGATGAGTAATCTGACATTGTCTGACATTGAAGTAGTGTAGGAACCTGCTCATAGAAAACTTGGTTCCTCTCTTCACACAGTTGGTAATCAAGTAGAAGACACTTTGGTGGAAAGTCTCAGCCAACACTATTCTGTCAATGTGGTCACCAGATCAAAAAAAAACATACCCTATCTCTCAATCTTGATGTAGAGTTAAATGCTTACATGTACAAGACTAGACCTAATTCATCTGGCTAGACCGGATTCCTTTTGAGTTGAGCACCCCACCCAGCCCCAAAGCTTCAGAGGCCCCTTTGGAGGTGACCTCATATTTGAGGAGGCTTTGGATAGTAATATCGCTTTCATTATAATTTTCATTGAGCAGGTATATAATATGCATTGTGAGTATATACATCGAAGCATTATCACTTTAATTGCTTAGTTTTGACACTGCTTTTAAAATGCTGTTTCTCACATTAATTTTCCATTATATATATATATATATATATATATATATATATATATATATTATAATGCTCTTACAACAGATTATATAAAAACACTTCAACTTATTTAGTACTAGCACCATTTGATTTGTCTCCCAGGTTTGAATTTGTGTAGGACACACCAATATTAAGTACTGTGAAGTAGTGTTGGGCTTAACACAATATAGCCATATGGGGGAAGTGAATCCCAATATTTGTTTGCTCATATAGGTGATTTTAAGTAGCCTTATAGAATTTAGAAATTTATTTTTATATGTGTGCTGTTCCTTAATCTGTATTATGTATACATTTTCATCACCACGGCAGCACCATTCCTCCAAGATGCATGTTCTGGGTGTGTCCCCAATTTACTTTTGTCTTTACTATGAAATTGAAATAAAGGCTGATCACTGTCCATGCCCAGGTATTTCTCAAGATGGAAGACTATACAGAGAGAGCCTAATTGATCTGAGCACCTCTCTGTACAACACACAGATTTTTACCTATAAATCCACAAACATTACATGCTGGGAAGGAGCAGAAGTAGAGGAATATAGATATCCTGCTGGCGTTTGAAACCACACCAAACTATATTCTGTAGTAACAAACTCTATTATGACTCTTGGTGGAAAGAGAATTTAAAATCAGAAGAAATACATCAATTAATGAATTGAAAAAACTAATAGCTAATATCACTATAGGCCAACTGAGAGAGATGCCCTGTCAAATGAATGGAACACAGGAGGAAAACAAAGTTGCTCAGAGACTTGACATAATGGGACCCTTGCACTAAACCAAGATTTATAGCTTTAATTAAAGGGACACTCTGGTCACCATCTAAATCTAAATGAAGTTGCTATCGTGCCAGGAAACCCCTGGGTGCACTCTTACCTGAAAGGGTAAAACCATTCCACAACATTGCCTCAAGCACCAATCAGCAGGTCCACCAGGCGACATCCGTCTTCTGAGTCTCTGTTTCAGGAAGCACATAGGTAATGGTTGCTGCTGATTGGCTTAGAGTGGTCAGCTGATTCGCTAAACCAATCAGCGAGCCCTGTCCAGTGGCACTCCACGCTTTCTGAAACTGAGATCAGAAGCCAGATACTGCCTGGGGAGCTGCTGATCGGCACTGAAAGCAACCTTTGAAGTATGGTTTATCCCTGCAAAGTAAGAGTGCACCCAGGGGGCCTCCTGGCACCATAACAGCTTAATTTAGTTGAAATTGTTATGGTAACTGGAGTGTCCCTTTAACTCTACATATTATGTGCATACTTGCAAAGCAAGAAACCCCTGTAAAATAACTACAAAGGCATTGGTAACAAAATGAACCTTTATTTGGTTCTATTCCAACTATAGTCTACCATTACATTCCTTTCTCTCTTTGGTATGACAATACCAATCAAGACTTTAACTGGCAACCTAAAGTTGCTGATCAAGGGTTCTTGCTTCATTCCAGACTTCCAGGAATGTGGTGCATGATAAAAAATGATAATTACTAAGGTAAATTATGCTGTTTATTCCCTGTATCGGAAATGTTTTAGTGATGGTATAAAATATACAATAGATACTGTAATTAATAGCATAAAAAAATTATAATATTTAAATTTCAAAAGAAGATAGACCTTGTAAATATCTGAAGTGTAATTATTGCTGGAATGCCATATGCAGCTGCATCCTGGCCTACAAATAATACTTTTTTAGACAAAATGTATAGGGGCATACCAACTATTTTTCCAGATTAATGTACATTAAGGCCTCTGTCTCGCAGTAGATGGAAATTGTTAAATAATGCAGATTCCTTCATATATACTGGACAAATACTTGTAGATGCAATCCAAGTAGTGGCCAAAATTTTTGGTCTTACTAGTGAAACATTACGCAATAGCGCAAAGTAGTAAGCAAATACCTAAATATTAATGTAATAAGTAATTGATAGAGATATCAAATCCTAACAGCCACCCAAAAAAATTCATAATATAAGTAAAACAAATGCATAGCAGATTTAGTGAGAGGAGAGAAGAAAAAACAATTAGCAAGCCCTGAATGTTTTGGCAAAAGAGATGCCTTTATCCAGGGAGCCTGTAGTAGACGAGTTAAACTCACCCTTATATACCAAAATAATAAGACCCATGAGAAACACCTGAATGTGATGAGTGGCCACCCATGATGATTGGGATCCTCTAACATAAGTGGAATACCTTAACAGTTCAAATTAACTCAGAGACAGACATAATCCTTGCTATACATATAACAAGCCTTTATATATATGATATAAAAGAAACAAGACATTTTCAGACTGCCAGAGCTGTCAGTCAGTCAATGGGAGGTAAAGGTATATTATAATTGAACCTTTCCAAATTAAATATGTACACTAAATTTGAAAATTAATAATTTAGGTCACCTTTTGTAAACAGAATAAAAGATGTCAAAGGTAATAATTCAACATACATGTGATCAAATATTTTATTTGTCTGTTTTTCGATGCCACAAAAAAAGTTATTTGGTTTGTGATGATTTAAAAGTACAAATTCCTTGTGGTAATGACCCTGCCACATCTACTGACTGTTTAATCGATACTGAACAAGTAGAAAGTGGTTATTTGTATTTTGAACCTCTAGGAAATGGATCATATATAATTATGAGTTCATATTCTGGTTGTAACATACCCCCATTTCACCCAGACATAGCTACAACAGATTATGATATCTGTTGTTACAGGAACATGTTAAAACTCCCTATACAAAGATACAAAAATGACAGGTATAGTTAAAATACATATACCTCCAATATCTGTAAAGCTACCATATATGAATGCTTTTTGGGCTCATTTATAAAAATTCTAAATTACCTTACGCTCCACCCACAAACAAGTTGAAAACGTACTCAAAGGCATTCTATAGTGCCAGGAATACAAAGCTGTATTCCTGGCACTAAAGCTCCCTCTGTCGCCCTCGCACCTCGCATCTGGGTGACTATAGTTTCCCTTTAAACAAGTGAGATTAACATTGTTAAGCATCCAGTTTCATGAATGTGACTTCCAGTGGTGGAACTACCACCCATGCAAACAGTGTGGCTGCTCTGGGGCCTATATGCTTTGGTGGCCCATCAGGTGGCCCTTACACGTAGGGCCGCTCAATGGTTATTATTGCTAAATTGTAATATCTGTGCCTAGGAGGAAGTGACAGCCAGTCACTTTATCCCAGTTTCAAACATAGCGCCGCGCAGGAGGCAGAAGGGTGGCTGGAATTTTCAAAATTATGAAATGTATGTGTGTATGTGTTTATGTATATCAGATTGAACGTGTATGTATCTATGTCAAGTTGTGTGTATGTTTCAGTGTGTGCATCAGTGTGTGTGTATGTGTGTGCATGCATCTGTATGTCAAGATAAGTATATGTCAGTGTGTGTATATATGTGTCCGGGTGTGCATCTGTGTATGTGTGTGTGCATTTGTGTGTCAGGATGTGCATCTGTCTATTTATATGTGCATCTGTGAGTAAGGGAGGGCATGTGTGTGTCTATATGTCAGTGTGTGTATCTGGGTCAGAGTGTGTGAATGTGGCAGTCTGAATATCTGTGTATGTGTGTGTCAGTGTGTGCATCTGTGTATCAGGGTGTGCATCTGTGTGTGTGTGTGTGTTTATATGTCAGTGTGTGTATCTGTGTGAAAGGTGTTTGCATGTGTCAGTGTGTGCATCTGTGTTTCAGGGTGTGCATCTATGTGTATGAACATCTGTGAGTTAAGCAGTTCCTGTCTGTGTCAGTGTGTTTATCTGTGTCAGGGTGGGTGCATGTGTCAGTCTGTGTGTCAGTGTGTGCATCTGTGTGTCAAGGTGTGTGCGTTTGTCAGTGTGCATATGTCAAGGTGAGTATCTCTGTCAGTGTGTGTATGTGTGGTGTGTGTATCTATGTGTGTGTGTGTCAGTGTGTATATGAATTTGTGTGTATGTGTCAATGTGTTTATATGTGTATATCTGTGTGTTAATGTGTATGTGTAAGTATATATGTGTGTATCTGCAAATATCCAAGCAATCAAACACCAACACAACATGCAAACACACTCCTGCAATTTAACACAAATATTACATAAAAACACACCACTGCATTCAAACTCCAAAATTATATACAAACACACCCCTTCACTCAAACAACAATACTATACACAATTGTACATCCACATTTAAAAGCCAACATTACATATAACCACACACCTGCAATCAAACACAAACATTACAAATACACCAATGTATTAAAACACTAAAAATATATACAAGCACCCATCAATCAAACACAAACACTACACACAAGTACACTACTGTATTCACATGGGGACCATACATACAAATACACCCTAACATGCACATATATGCTCTATACAAAACATGCTTACATTCAAACACACCAGCACTGCTCACAAATGCAACCCTGCAAAGATGGGCAAATTGTAGATCCCCAGCTAGCATAGCATCATTGCAGTTGTACGACAGATGGGGATCTACCTTTTGGTCACTCCTACACTAGAGGGGGGTCCAAAAAACTTGGTAAGTCACTTGCCCAAATTTTATCTACAGTAGATTTTTTTTTCCCAAAGAGTAGCCAAAACTTTAGCAAATATCGGTAAAACTGGTTTTGGAACAGGTTTTGGTATTTTAAACTATTAATGATAACGATAGTTATATTTTTACTGATCGTAACATGGAGGACAGTTTCTCAAATCCCTAAGAGAACAAAGAAGAATAAATCATTTTCATATCTATCTGTTTCCAATTATGAACTATTCCAGAGAGATCTCGAGAGATAATGCAAAAAAGAGAAATTTTAACATTTGAAGAGATTGTGCAAGGAAACTACCATTTTACATATCAATGTAAAAATACCACAGGTACTTTGCTAATTCAAATAATCCCTATATATTTAGGCCAAACACAGGGTTTTTCTCTATAAGAAAATGTCAGAAAGATTGTCATTATTTCTATCCAATCTATGCTCATTATAGGTGATGCTGAAAGAATATCTGCAACCAATTCTAGCCAAATACCCAGATGTCCTCAAAACTCCACCTCCAACAATTTATCTCAGGATTCTGATCTACAACAGTTCATTGAAAATTTTAACCTATCACTCTTTACAGGATCCGAACAAGCAAGTTATGCCCCAGAGTTTGAGGACCTTCTTGAATCTTAAACAACAAACTTGCTCAAAATTTTTAACCAACCTTCTTTTAAATGCAAAGATCAAACAAAATATGTTTTTTTCAGATAATGACCATGATCAAAAACAAAAACGCCAATTGTTTTAGTCTAGTAATAACAAATCAGGGTATGTCATGTTATCTTTTGGTCATTGCCTTGATGGTTTGTCAAGGTCACGTTTGTTTTTCTGTTTTTTTTTCTTAACATGAACTGATTTTAAACCTAGGTCTAGGATTAAAATCAATATATATATGTTTTGATCAATATTAGAAAAAGGCTGGTGGAGAATATTTTTTTGCAACTGCATTAATACAAGACTGAGAGATTCTCTTGTACAATCAGGAGGGTATGTTATTCTATTTTACTTATAATGCAAATATATGCATTTAACGTTATTTACTCTGCTTTTATTATTATAATGGATTGTAAAAAATTTATATTGCCTGTATTCATTTATATACCATAAAATATTTTAAATACAAACTATATTGCTTCTAAATCCCTATTTGTATTGTATTCTTAATTATTTATATAATATAAATAGAGAAACTTATCCATCTGTCTAACATTTGTGCTAAATTAGTTGTACAGTTAGCCCTGATAAGTTCTAAGTAAATAAGACAATATAGATGTAATATGGGTATCACTGAGATTACAGGTTGGGGATATTGCTCAACCAGGGACCAAATAGAATAAAATAATTAACATTTACCTACCCAAAGAAGGTATTGGTATGGATACAACCATATAATATAACTCTATACAGCAGTGCTCCAAACACGAATATAGTGGGATATACTTATGTAAATAAATGGTCTCTCAAAAACATATTTCCATGTAACTCCAAATTATGTACCAGTACATATTGAAAGAAAAAAATCATAACAAATAATAGTGCATCCCTATTTATAATAATAGTATAAAATGTTTTTGAAAAGCTACCACTCACATCCTAAAGAGCTGACCACACAGCTCACTAAATTGCATGAGATGGATAAAGCTTCTTAGAATGGTCAAACTTTATTTATATACTTATGATTAAAACCAATCAGAGAAATTAGAACTGCTTACAAGATTTTGGTGGTGAAAATATGCGGGCATAAACATTTTGTTAACTAAAAAGTTATTGCAGAGTATTCTTTAAATTCCGCGGGGACCTCCGTTTGGTACTCCCTCAGCCCACCTCATGATGTCAGTACATTTACATCGATGTGCTTCACATTCCGGCTTCATCTGAAATGGATCTCCCATCTTTATGAAGGATGCTGAAGGGAATTTCGTACTCCTCCATAATAAGTTCCAATTGGATAGATTTTCAAGTCTATAATTGACATACTTTGTTACTATATTTAATTTAAAGTTCATTAAAGTTTGTTATGTAATCAGCTATTAAACACATTCATTGTGGATATTATTATTATAACTGCAAACAAAACTCATTGCGAGTCAAACATAAAATAGGGACATTACAAGCACTATTTATAAAAAAATATTAAACACTCAGTGTAATGGCCACCCTGGGTATCAGAGGGGTGTATGCTGTTAGAGATGTCCTTTTCCCTTGAGAGGAGCTGTGCTGCAATATTCTCCAGATGTCATCTCAGCCGACCCAGCAGTAGAAGGTGTAGTAGAGTTCTTACAAGAGCTAGTAATTAGCTGTGAAGCAGGTTCCCTACAAGCACGAGACAAAGCTACGTGTTGAGGGTTAAGCCAAACTGAATCTTTAATGGGCCATGCTGGCCTTTTATGCAACTTTTCCAAAAAGGTTGCCACCCAGGTGGACCTTGTTGGGCACAGGGAGATACAGTGAACAGCCAATAAACATAAAGTTACATAATGAAACACTCTCATTGATTACACAAAATTCCTCCCCCCTGCTTGGGAGATAATCGAGTTAATTAATATATCAAGTCAATTATCTCCAAACGAAAAAATGGCAATTTGTAACCATTTTCAGAAATACCATAAAACCATATCTAAACCCCATAAAACATATATTTTCTGATAGTCCATAGTTAGGGGAACAACATGTTAAAAAATCATGCAAATCGGTTCAGGGCTTCGGGAGTTATATGGAAGTCCTGTTTATGCCCGGCCGCACACGAGGCTACTGCCCAAAATAGTTCCATGCATTCAGCTGGTGCGGCCGGTCTCTTTCATGCCTTGAAAAATGTCGAACAATAGTTCCCATAAACGTTTGTGCATGTTATGGTCGTGTGCCGCTTCATTTGTATGATGTTTCTACTGAATGCCACCTTCTTCGCATGAATTATTACAAATCTAAGTGGTCCTGGAAGTCTCAGCGGTGTTCGGGAGATTGAGTGTCCGAAAATAGTTTCAGACACTCGGCGACCAAATCCCGCTGGACGCGTTTGACAAAACAAGATGGCCGCAGCCACGTGTTCATGCATACGAATCGACAGCCACTCAGTGAACCACTTAAAACATTGCGGTTGCGGTTTGGCATAGAGTCAAATGAGTCAATTGGCGGCACACGACTGGCTTGGGTGGTCTAACGTTCGGTAAACAAACAAATTGGGTATAGTTTGTTCGTTTTTAAATTCGTATGTGGTATAGGTGCAGGGTATTGCAACAAAGAGTTCAAACATTAACAACATTGTAATCCAAACGAACAGGGCATTTGTTACACTCAGTACTGAGGTTTTTACACATAAAAACCTAATAAAAAATACAAAAACTATAAAAGTCATATTATTTAAGAAAAGAGGTATCTAATATATATTTTGACAAATATTTAAAAAAAAAATATGAATATAACATATATGATTTTATATATTTCCTAAAAGGGAAAGATACATAATATTAATTAAGTGCCATGTGCTGGGTGACACATAAAATATATCGTAATGGGGCAGGCAGAGATGGGAAGTTAGATTAATAGAGGCAAACTCACTTGGTTGTAGGAATCTGAAAAAAGCTAGGTATATGGCGGTTTTAATTACCATATTGGTAATAGGTTCGAAAGTTGACATGTCTAATAGATCGGATAGTGATTGGAACAGTTTACCATGGATGGGTAGTCTCTTAGAGGGTAATATTGTGTCAGATTTCTGTACTCCTTTCAGTAAGGTTTTAATTAGGTATGATGATAGGAATCCTGTTTTGTTAGGGTGTTGTATCAGCATGTGATGTTAAATGCCCGTTTCGTAGAGTTTGAGTGTTATATGATAATTTTAGCTTAAGGTGGCAAAAAGAAGTAAGCCCCAATAAAGACTCCATAGCAAACATGTCATCAATGTGAAAATCGGCAATGAATCGGCAGTTAAAAGATAAAAAGCCCTATCGTAGGATTTCCTAGTGTTAACCGAGAGTGCTAGGTGGATAAGGTTCTGTGCGTGTGATAATAAAACATTTAATCCATTAACATGTCTAGGAATGGAGGAGCAGGAGTAACCAGATGGGAAGCAGTGGACAGAGTCTTGTGGAATGCCTGTAAGCGGAAATGAGACAGGTGAACAGCCTATACATTAGTGACCCCCAGGATGTGAATACAAGTAAGGAAAAACTGGTGATTGGCTGCCACCTAAGTGAGTCTCCTCAAAAACCTCATAACTATCAAAGATGATAATCGACCTTTGTTTAAAATGTGGTAGGTATCTATGTTGTCTGAGAAGCATCTGACAGAGTGACCTGCCCAGCCAGGACCCCAGGTAATTGCTGCCGCCAATAATGGGGTATAGCTCAAATAAGGCTGAAGTTTTAGAAAACCCTGGTAGGGACTTAACTTCTTCAGGCCAGTGACCCCAGAGCCAGTTATCACCACAGATAGCTGCAAAACCCGTATTGGCCACAGCATCTTTCCAGAGTTTTGGGGGAATTATCGGAGATTGTAGGAATAAGACAGGACTGCATGTTGACCGAGTCTAGTTTAATACACAAAAAATGTATTACCATGTCAGGACCTGTGAGGGGGGTGAGAATTGTCTTCAATCGTGAGGAAATCGTGTAAATAGTGTATTACAGTTGGGCATCTGTACACATTAAGT